ATCTCTGTCCCCATAGCACCCGGCACAGCCAGGCCCGGAGGAGGCACCCAAACAGTGATTCATTGAATGATCATAGATCATCAAATTGTAGGACAGGGGAGTCCTGGAATTACAGCCGTGAAATAGCATGTTTCTATAATGCCCTGCCATGTAGAAAAATACATATTAGAGCCTCAAAAACAGCCTTGTAAGGCAGGCAGGGAGATCATTCTGTCCAGTGTCCAAAGGGGAAAGCCGAGGCTCAAAGAGGGACAGTAATCTGTCCAAGGTTACATACCAGAAAGGGCTAGGGCCTAGTGCCCTCCCCACCCTGCCCCAGAAGGCTCAGGACTGCTTGCCTTGGCATGGCCAGGGTTGCCTGGGAGGTGAAGGGCTACCCCTCACTTATCACTGGGTTCTCCTCCTCCCCAGGAAGCCCCCCAATCTCAGCCCCACTCTGTGCTGGGGCAGTCGGAGAAATACAGCAGATGCTGCCCGATTGAGCATCCCTCATTCCATTCCCAGCTGAGACTGGCCACCAGCCACCATGACAGCCTGTCCTTGTACCTATAATGGAAACAGAGCCAAGAAGGGAGTCTCTAGAACCCCCAAGCTGGTATAGACAGAAGACAAAGCCACTCCTCCCCCAGTCTCCACCCTAGAAGTTTGGGAAGCCTCACTGTGAAGCAAGAACAATGGACCAGGAATCCAGAGACAGTGTTAAGCCTAACTCACTGTGTGGCTTCTGGAGAATCACTTCTCACCGTGGCCTCAGTTTTCTCATCTGTGAAATGGAACAATGCTGTCTGCCTACTTTATTAGAACTACCATGAGGACTAAACAAAAGAAGGAGTATAAAAACACAAAATTATAAAGCAGATTTTGCCTTAGAAAATAATAATAATAGGGCTCCTCTTTACATTGAAACTCCAACCTGACTCACTTCCCCTTCCTGCAGAGGGCAAAAACATCAGCTAACATTTACTCAGATCCTACAATGCCGTCGGCAGTGGCTGCTTTACATGCATTATTTCCAAGTGGGCTACGGTAGATATCATCCCCCCATGACACGCATGAGGAAAGTGAGGCTCAGTAAAGTGACTTGTCCAAGCTCACCCAGCTTGAAGCAGCTGAGCCAAGATTCAAACCCACTTCCATCTGGCATCCAAGCCCAGGCCCTCTGGATCCACCAGGCTGATTTGAGGAGCCACTCCACACCCCAAAGTCTCAGAGCTTCAGAATCAGCGCTCAGGGTGTGGGGACATGTCACATACACACACACTCCACTGAGACCAGTGACCCTGACATCAGAGGCACGGTGCCACCCCATGGTAAGGCCATCAGAGCTGGGAGGGGCACGTGAGGAGGGTGGCTGGCACGGCTGGCCTTGAGCTAATTGTATCAGTCCTGGGCATGGAGCTGTCTATCCGGCTGTCCAGGCGGACGGGTGCTGGAACTGGGCCACCTGCCAAGGTCCAGCCTCCATGTCCAAACTAACCTGGACACCGAAGTTCCATTTTGGCCCCTCTCGCCCTGACCCTGGTGGCTGGCAGTGCCCACATAGATCCAGACGGCCATGGTGGCAGCTGCTATCCCTCCTCCGGAGGCTGGCACCTCCCCTGATGTGGCCATATGGCCCCACATGCTCTCTGAAGCTGGAGTGCTGAAACAACTGCCTACGGAGGCCCTGCAGAGGCCCCGAGGCCTCGGTCGCCCCACCTACCCCTGCCCAGCAAGCACAGGCATAGCCAGAAAAACCTGAGACTGCAGTGCCCGCTCCCAACTTGCTTAGTGACCTTGTGCTGGTCACTGCCCCGCTCTAGGCCTCAAGCTCTTCCTCTATCAAATAGTATCGCCTCACTACTCCTCTACCCCTTTTCCTTTGTAGTCCTCTACCCTTTTTAATTTATAGCCCTCTTCTGAGGTTACAAACTCCCATTCAAACTCACTCCAGTTATCCACGGAGACAAACAAACACATCCACTTTACAGACATGGGAACTAAGGCAGACCCACAGGCCTCAGGGGCTTACTGAAGTGCACACAGTGGCAGGGTCAGTACTGGAGACTGCATCTATGACTTCAGGACACTTGCCACCTCTGTATGCCCAGGTGGTGGGGCCTATGAATCCTGAGCCCTCGCCCAACTCTGACGACCTAGATCACCCCACCCAGGTCTTCCCAGCTCCCGGACAACCCCTCCCACGACCACTAGAGGAGCAGTTTATATCGCAAATCTAATTGTGTCTCTCCAGAACTTCAACCCTGCAAGCCCTGAATTCAGAATCAGCCCACACTCCTCAGATGGGCACTGAGGATCCTCTTCTGTCTGGTGCCAACCTTCTCCATGCCCGTGTCAACTACTCCACTGCAAACATGTTCTATCCTTGCCCAGCACTTCCCACCTCCATGCCTTTGCCAGCGCCATGCCATCTTCCTAGAAAGCCCCCACTCACATTCACATTAGCCATTCACTCATTTAGTCAATTATTTACTAAGCATCGACCAAGTCCCAGAAAATATCAGCAGGTCAAGACCCTGCCAGCCCCCTCCTTCTGAAACAGCCCCTTGCCACTCCCCCACTGACCTTCTTGATCACCCAGCCCGCTCGGCTCATACCCAGAGGTATGGGTCCAAATCTGTTTCCCCTTTGAGAGACCATCCAGGGAGGGGCCCAGGCTCATGATTGGTATCCCCAGCACTCAGTCCAGGTCTCAAGCCAGAAGATGCCTCCAAATGTGAAGTGAGGCTCAAGGGTAGGATTCCAGGGCCTGGAGAGTAAGAAGCAAGGTGTGGTTCTTGGGAACAGGGGTCTGGGCCCGAGAAGCCCACAGAAGAAACTCTGAGACTGGTCAGGGTGGCCCTCAGCCCCCACATAGGTATGCCTGAGTGGTCAGGGGCAGCTTTTTCCCTTGAGTCACCCCAAGACCCAGGCCACTCAATAAATTCTTACCAGTGAATTTGTTAGAATACTTCTATAATTTAAAACCCAAATATGGCAGGGTCAGGTCTTGCCTGGGGAGGGAAATTAAGGGGGTCACACGGGGCACTGCTCCCTCCCAGTCAGGAGGTTGGGGTGGGAAAGTGGCTGTTTTCCTAAAGGGGGCAGTCAGTAGGGGTTGGAAGCCCCAGGCTGGAATTTTCACCCCTGGCAGAATAGACCAGGGGCCAAAGAAGTGCCCCTGGTCTCCTCCTCACCATGGCTCGGGACCCTAAATGAAGGGTTCATTTTGCTGGAGTTGGTTGGGGTGGGAATGGAGGTATCAGAAGAACCGTGGCAGGGGTTCAAGCAGGCACGGATGGGTGGTGGGTGGGGCAGGGGTGGGGCACGGTGGCAGGGGTGGGGCCAAGCTAGGTGTCTTGCTATGCTCCAGCCTCCTGGATGTCAGAGCTTTGGTCAACACCTAGGAGGCAAAAGTCTGGAGCTTAGGAGTCCCTTCCAGTCCCCCTCAGTGCACATTTAGATCTCCATGGGGAAACTTTTGACCCACAAAGGGGCTCTAGGATGGAGAAGATAAGAAGGCTTCTGGGGCCGAAGGAAAATGCCAGTACCCAGCATAGAGTGCCAGGCTGGGTGGGGAGTGATTTGGATCCCTGGGATGGTAGTGAACTCTGAGAGCTGTGCAGAGGATGACAGGAGCCGGGCTTCCAAACCATCAAGCAAAGCTCAGACAGCCTTTGGCCCCAAATCCAGGAAGCACATATTTAACCAGGCTAGGGTTAAAAGGTCCCACAGGCCAGAAGCCTTTGCTCAACTGCCTCTGGCTGAGAACAGCCGCCGCTAGCCTGGTAAACATGCCATACACAGCAGGAGCCCGCCTGCCAGGTCAATAAAGAAGGCCTGGGTGCCCTCCATGCCTCACCGAAGAGGGTCACTGGATGCCCTCGCAGTGGAAAAGGGCTGTCCAGAGACTTATAAGACTGCCTCCATCTCTGCCACAAAATCCTCCTCTGTGAAATGGATAAGAACTTTGCCCATGGGTCCTGCATTCTCACAAAGCGGCTAAGAGATTCCAAGGGCTAATGGAGGTGGAAGTAAGGTTTAAGCCTGAAAGCTGATATCACCATAGACATTACCATACTACAGAGACCCAGGTAGATACTGACTGCTCCAGCCGCCACACCCTTCCACGCAGCATCCAGGCTGAGATCAAGACTTCTAACTACATAGGTTCTCACGGATGGGGGCTGCTTGGGATCCCGGCAGTTACAACCCCAGGGAAGTTCAAACTGGAACGACTCAGTAGCAACCAGAGAAGGCTTCCTAGAGGAGGAAAAACCTGCCCTGGAAGCAAGGAGGATGAGGAGCCTGCAGGAGTCCTGACCCATGACCCTTCCTTGAGTCTCTCACTCCAGGAGACATGGGGTTCTCTCCCTCGCGGAGGCACCATCTTGGACCACAGCTTTCCATCCCATCTTCCACAGGATTGGCTGGGTTGGCAGTGAGGGGTGTTCCCCTCACTGGGATGTTCCCTCAGGCAGCCAGCACAGGTCCAGAGTGTGGGAGGAGACTCAAAAGGGGAGAGGGTACAAAGCACAGCCACAACCTCAATGCAGAGTGAGGCACGCGGGGGCATGGCTCCAAGCAGGGATGGGGCACCAGGCCAGCAGACCTGGAGACGCCCCCTCCCATCCCCAGCCCCTTGGGAGCTCCTGAGGGTCCAGGTCTGGTGGGGCGCGCCTTGCGGCGAGTTCCCTTCTTCCAGCCATCGTCCCGAGGAGCAGAAGGCAAGGGACACACACATACACGCCTGGGCACGTCTCTGCACTCCCCCAACTCAACCTGGGTGTCTTCCGCCTGCCTGCAAAGACAACCTGCGGGGCCCTGGGCCTGGGAGCTGTCGCCGCGCGGTCTCGCCTGACCCTGTCGGGGTCATCTGAGTCCGGCACCCGGAGCAGGTTCAGCGCGGCGCCCCGGGGCTGGGTGGGTGTCCCAGACTGCGGGCGGCTGCGCCGCTGGGGAAGTGGATGAGCACCCCTCAGCCTGCCAGGCGGTCCGGCCCGCGGCCCCGCCCCACTCCCCTCGCGTTCTCCTCTCTGGAGAGAAAGGCCGCAGTTGCACCCCGAAAGCGCCTCCGTCCCCACCCCTCCCGGCCCGCCGCGCCCCAGGGTCTCCACAAAGTTGCTGCAAGTCGCCGCAAGTCGCCGAAGCTGCAGCGGCAGGGGAGGGTGAGGCGGGGCCGCGCGACGGGCAGGAGCACGGTCACGACCTGGGGTGCCGAGCGCGTCCCCTCCCCTAGCCCCGAGCGTGCACGCCCCCCAACAGACGCGCACCAGGCATCTAAAGCCCGCTGCTGCCCTCGAGGCTCCCGCCCAATCAGATGCCGCGTACGCGGCGCCGCCGCGGGCAGACACCCCGGCGCCGGAACCTGCGCCACTGTAGCCTCGGCCCCGCGGCCATGCTCACCATCCCGGGCGCGCTGTCCGCGCACGGCTGCGCTCGGGCCGGCATTCCCCGGCTCGCTGCCTCCGGTTCCCGCTCCGGCTCCGGTTCCCGCTCCTCAGGAGCGGCAGCGAGACAGACGGAGAGCAGCGGGGAGATTGAGGACCGGGCTGGGCAGGTGGGAGAAGGCAGAGGGGCGCCGGAGAGGCCGGGCTGGAAGGGGGAAGAAGTGCGGCTGCGCAGCGGAGGGGGCCGGCGCAGGGCTCAGATCCATGATGGTGGCCGCGGCGGCGACCCCGGCAGGGAGTGCGTGTGTGTGCACGAGAGCGCGCGGGGTGGTGCGCGAGAGGGCCTCGGTTCTCTTGGGCGCCCAGCTACTGCCTCCTGCTCGCCACGGCGCGATGCCGGCGGAATCCCTACCGCGCGCCCCCACCGTCCGGCGCTTACACTCGCACACCCGGGCACGCACACCCCACGCCGCCGCACACCCGGCTCCGCACTCCCTACTCGCTCTCCTGGGGCGGTCACAAAGGCCCCCAAGCCCGGCCAGCTCGAGCCCTCGGAGCGCGGCCCTGCGCCGCTCCCGTACCCGCCGGCCTCAGGTGCCCCGCTGCTCCCGGTGGGGACCCCGCGGGCGGCCCGGCTCCCGCACCCTGCCTGGCTGGGCCGCGGTCGCGCTCCCAGCCCGAACCCGGGCCCGGGTGCGGACTCGGGCTTCCCGCACTCGCGTCCGAAGCGCCGGCCCCCTCCGCTGCGCCGCCGCCCTTCTTCCCCCTTCCTGCCCGGCCTCTCCGGCGCCTCTCTGCCTTCTCCCACCTGCCCAGCCCGGTCCTCGGTCTCCCCGCTGCTCTCCGCCTGTCTCGCCGCTGCTTTCTCCCGCGCCCCCTCCTCCCCACCGCCTTGCGCTACCTCTCACATTCTCCGCATTACAGCGGGTGCCGCCCGCCGCTCGCGAGGCCCAGGGTTCGAGGGTGCAGTGGGCCGCGAGGGGACGCGCCGCGCCTGGCCCAGCCGTCCCGTCCGCTCTCCGCGGCTACTAGGTTCAGCCTGGCGCTAGGGTGGCAGCGTCCCGCGCTAGCCTCGGCTGCCGATGACAGCTGTCATCTCGCCCGGGCTTAAAGGGCTAGCGCACCCGGCTCTACCGGCCCCACCCGGGGGCGCCGGGGAGGGGACCTCGCCGCGCGGGAACAGTCCGGGGCGGTGGCACAGCAGCGGCCGTGCTGGCGACGCCCTGTCGGCCGCGGTGGAGCCCGGCCCTCCGGGCTGGAGGTGACTCAAGGAGAAGGATGGTCGGGAGCTGCCCGGACCACGCCATCCAGGGGGCGCTCAGCAGCCAAGTCTCTGGGCCCACAGTGGGTGTGCGGCGGTGCAGGCTGAGCGCCCTGGACTGCGGGGCAGGGGAGGGGGATCAGGGAAGCTGCTCTCCGAGTCTGAACTCCAGGGGAAGACACCTCTCATGCTGGTAGAACAGGGCTCACGGGGTGGCGTCCCGTTCCTGCTGTGTGACGTTGGGCAAATACCTACCCCTCTCTGCACCTCAGTGTACCCCCTTTGTAAGGACATGGCTTCCATCATCTCTGAGCCCATGCCCAGCTCTGATGTGGTTTTAGATCCCATAGGAGGGGGAGTCGCAAGGTAGGCCCTCAATCCCCAGAGTCCCACCTCCTCCTTGCCTGTGAGAGCTGAGGCCACCGCTGAGATTGCAATCCTTGCCACCCTGGACACTCACCAGGCGGAGTCGGCCTCCTCCTTCCTTCTGCCTTATCAGGGGAACCAGGGAATGAGGCAAAGTTGAGTTGGTACAGGGACCTACTCTTTGAAGAGCTCCCTCACATCCAAGATCTCCTTGGGCCCTCATGACACCCCTGGGAAGTAAAGTGCACCCCTAGGCTCCCGGTCAGCCTGATCCTGAACAAGTCTGGCACATGAGCTTTTCGTCTTCAGGGCCCCTTCCCCACCCTTACTTCCACCCCAGACTGTCCCTTGCTCCCCAACCCTGCAGAGGGATGCATTTTGCCCATTGTTCAGGAAGTTTCTGTCATGTGCTCCATCCTGTGCTAGGTCCTGGAGACACACAGATGATTTAGACACATTCTTACCTTCAGAAAACAAGAATACGGAAAGTGTGATAGAGCCGTGGGGGGTGGAGGAGGTCCTGGAGAAGGTGACATTGAAGCCAGGTAGTGAAGGATGAGTAAGAATTGGCCAGACAGACAGGAACAGAAAGGGGATCCCATGCCAAGAGAAGAGCATGTGCAAAGACCTGGAAGTGGGAAACGGAGTGATGGGTGTTTCGGAGGGAAGAGAAGCTATAAATCCTTGATTTGAGGAGTTTCGACTTTGTTCTGGGGCAGCAGCAGAACTGCTGCTTGGCAAATCTAGGCAGCAGCGCCCACCCCCACCTTTCAGCCATCACAGAGGTATGGCTAAGGGCTTCCTAAACTCAGCAGCTTTTGCCAGAGGGCCATCTCCTCTTCTGTTCCTCCTCTCCAAGGCCAGACCCAACCTCTGTGCCCATATCCACAGCCAGAGGCAGCACAGCCTCCCCCTACTGACCAGAGCTGGAAGTAGGAAAAGCCCAGGCTGTGCTGTGGCTGTGATGTGAGTCCAGGAAGAGCCAGGCTCCTGTACCCACCCGTCATGAAGATGCCCTGTAAAGACTCCAGACTTTGGTTTCAGGCAGATCCAGTGTCGGTTCCAGCCTCAGTGTCCTCCTCAGTACAATGGGAATAAAAATACATTGCCAGTAAGGTGACTGGTGAAGAATCCACGAGGGACGATGCTCAGGAATGGCTCGGCACACAGTGGGCATGCAGCAAATGGCCTTTTCTTCCCTGTGCCTGAGCTTGACTTTGTGGCCCATCCCAAAGTCCCTGTTGTCTCCCTTCTCCCTCCTTCCCTGGCCATTTTCTTTCTGCCTCCGTAACAGATTTCCTGGGGGCCCCAAGCGAGATGAGCTCACAGGTGTTGCCTGCTCTGGTTCAGCACGCCTCCTGAGGTATCTTCCCAGGGCTTCCAGGTGAACCCTAGGGAAGCCACACGGAGACAAACAGCCTTTCCGCAGTCTCTGACCTCCACACGGAGCAGCAATCCCAGCCTGCATCCCCATCCAGTTCTCCCGCTTACTTTTGCTGTCTTGGGAGGCACACAGCCTTTGTGTCCGTGCTTGGGAATTTATGCCCAGCTATGTGGTCAAACTCAAATAGGTGGCATACTTTCTCTGAGCCTTAACTTCCTCTCTAATTATGGGAGCAAGCTGGTATGTGCCACAGGGATGATGAGCCTAAGTCTATGTCATTTATTGTCCCCAGCAAGTCCGAGCCTAGGCCCTCTACCGAGGAGTTCTGCACTAAGGCAGTCAGGTGCAGAGGCCTCTCTGGGATCTCCTTGTGTTCTGTCCTTGTGCTGGTGGCCAGCCACCTCTTCCTTCCAGCAGGCTTTACAGAGAGGCATGGCATGAACCAGGCCCACTCCATGGCCAGAGCAGTAGTAGTTGGGGGCCTGGGGCAGGGACCAGGAACCAGACCAGTTGGGCAGCTCCAGGAGGGAGCTCCTCTACTAGGAGCTGGCAGCTGCTTCCCACCACAGAGTCTGGGTCAGTGCCCCCACAAATGCCTGCCCGGGGCTGCTCTGCTGTTTCCAGCCATCTCCACAGGCCAGTCATGGGGAACTTTGGCAGTGTCCCAGATTTAATCATCATGCCAGGTCCAGCCGGGACTGAGAGTGGCCCACATGGAATTTGAGGAGGCAGTGGGCATTTCCCACCCACTTCCTCTGAAACCCCTGGCTTCCTAAGCCAGGCTGAAAAGTAGGTCACCAAGGGTTCAGAGAAATGCGCCACCTAGCTGGGCTGTCTGCTTACAATCTCTAAACACATCCAATCTCCCTACCTCCACCTCTCTCCCCACCTGTCCCCACCACCTTTTGGTTTCCACACATCTCTCAAATCCTTCTGTCCCTAAGCAGCTGGCATCAACCACTCCCTCCCTACCCCAATCTCCCTCCTCTTCCCTCCTCCTCTGCCAAGACTGTGGCCAGAAGATTTTTGTTCATTGGCTTACCCTCATGCTCATCTTGGTGTTATCATTCCCATTTCAGATAAGAAAAAAGCAAGGCTCAGGGAGGTGAGAGCCAGCATTCTTTATTCTTTCTGTGAACAAGAGTTGTAGGCCTACTTCATGCCACACACTGCGCCAGGCATGAGGAATACACAGTGGAGACCTTAGAGTCTAGAGGAGACAAGAAGAAACCAAACCACCATGCACACAAATGTAAAATGACAACTGGGACTAGTGCTATGATGAGGTCTTTGGGGACCTGGTCTGGTCTGGATTAGGGGGTCAGGAGAGGCTCCCTACAGGAAGTGACACTCGATGTAGCACCAGAAGGTTGAGTAGACAATGACCCACAGAAGTGGGGACTCCAGAGAGAGGGAATAGCATGTGCAAAGTCCCCATGGTGAGAAGAAAGAGAAAGGCTGTGTGACCAGAGCATGAGGAGAGGATTCTCGATGGAGGTGCAGGTGGCATGGGTCAGGACAGTAGGTTCTAGTGGGACCAGCAAGGAGTTGGGTTTTAGCCTGGAGGCTCTGGGCTGGCCCTGGAGGTTCAAAGCAGAAGACAGTGCCACCACTGTTCCTCCAGCTATCTCCCAGCCTACCACCCTTCACCCAGGGACCACTTCCACCCTCTTCTCTGATGCCCAGGCCCTGGCACAAGGCGGGACATCCTGGAAACTCAGACTGCGCAGCTGAGTGGGCAGCGTCATGAGGAAGCAAGAGGCCTTGGCCCCGCCTCTCATCAGATGTTAGCTGGATGCCTCCGGGCAGCACCTGCCACTCCGTGTCCCCCAGAACTGTAAAGAATGGACTGATCATCTTCTGCTATCTCTGGTTGATCCTGGACCATAGCCTGTAATAAGGGAATGGAGAAGATACAGCATGACTCCATCCAGGCCAGATTCCAGGGCCTTGTCCCTGCAGTGGGCAGAGGGGCTACCTGAGGCCTGCTGCTGGCCTATGCTTTCCCATCCCTCCTCCGCCCCTCAGCCTGCCCCTGGCCCTTCCCAAGGAGGGCACTCCAGGAAGCTTTCTTCCTGTCCCCACCCTAGGCCTCACCTGCACTCTCACCCATGTCTCCACCTGGTAAATGCACCAGACGCCCAGGAGCTTCTGCCTCAGCTTCCCAAAGTGCTGGAATTATAGGCGTGAGTCACTGCACCCAGCCTTAATTCATTTATTTTTTATAGAGACGGGGTCTCACTGTGTTGCCAGGGCTGGAGGTGGATCCTTTTGATTGACATTCTGTGGTGGAGCAGGGCCCCAGGCCCCAGAAAGGGCCAAACTAGGCTGTAGGTGGGCTGCTAGTGGCTTTGGTAGTGGGAATGGATGATGGATTGATTGGAGTTTTCTCCATTTGGTGGTGATGCTGGGTCTGTTATGTGCAAGTCTCATTAATTTTTTTAATCAAGAAATTGCTCCATTGGGAGGGTAGGCAGGGGTGGGAACTAGGCTCAGGGGCCTGGGCTCACAGGGAGCTGGGGCTCAGGACCCAAAACACAGCTCCTCATGGGAGACTGGAGAGGTGAGGAAATTCACAAGCCTAAGACATGGAAGCACCAATGTCCTTTCTCAGTGTTTTACACATATGCACACACATGCCCAAGGCATGTATGGAAACACCAGCTCATGCACACACATGTGTAAACGGGCAGATTTACACACATACACTCTCACAGGGCTCCCCACCTGGGATGCTCTCCCCTTCTTTCTGAATCTTCCCATGTCACTTCTTGGGTCCTCTCCATCCCCAACCTCTGGAGCCATAGAGGGATGCCTGGACCCAGGCTCACACTTGGAGTAATACCCACACCCAACCCTCTACAGGAGTTCTGGGTGTCAGTGGGGTGAGGGCTGGGGGGAAGGGTCCTGAAGCAGGTTCAAGCCCAGGGCCCAGGACAGTCCCAGGACCGACAGCGGGGCAGGGAGGCGTCCTGAAGCTACCAGGATGGGAGTCCTGAGCCTGCTGATAGGGGTCTGATGAGGCCCCTCCGTGAAGAGAAAAGAACAGCCCAGGCGGGCCAGGAAGGGCCTGAAAATGCCTCCTTCAGTGCCCTCTCCTGGAAGCCCTCCAGAACTGCCACGAGCCAGCTGCTCTTTCCTTCCCCTGAATTCCTCAGCCCTGACTATTGGCAGAACCCACTGGATACTGTGCTCAGGAAATCTTAAATCCATCTTTCTGGAGCCCTGAACTTTTGGGATCAGCACAGACCCAGGATTGGACTTATAAAATCCAAGCCCCTTGGCAGTGAGGAGGTAGCCTCCCACACCTAGCAACGGAGAAACCAGACCAAATATGATTGGTCACTTCCCTCTCATGGAAGGGAAGGCATGAGCTGATTGACTGGTGATGCTTACAAAAGGGAGAAGCCAGTGGGCACAAAGAAGCAAACCCATGCCAAGAGAGATGGTTGGGCTTGGCTGTCTTCAAAGAGGACAGTCCCAGCTCAGAACTCCCCCTGTCACCCAGTCGGCCAGAGCAGAGAACTACCCAGTGGAGGAGTCCCATGTCAGCCACACTCCCAGCAGATTTCAACCTTGGTATTCCCAGGAAGGTGGGCCCAAACTCTCAGTCTGCTCATGGGGCAGAACTATTTGCAATGAAGTGAAAGGTTCTGGCACTCGGAGGGTTAAGCCTAGATTAACCAGAACCAACCTATGCACGTTCCCCAGAGGGCCCCAGCATCTGTAGGCAAGGGTGTGTTTCTGGAAGGTAGGCAGGGTTCCAGCCACATCTGGAAGAAACCAAGAGCTTCCAAGCTGGAGGGGCTTTGGGGATGATGTAGCCCAGTTGCTACTACACAGATCAGGAAACGGTGGCCCAGAGAAAGGGAGGCAGGGGAGAATTTGTCCTTGGTCACTCGGGTACTTACAAGCAGATGGGACTGGGACCCAGCTGGTCTGTCCAGGGCTCTTTCCTCTGCACCACTCAAGGCTGCAGATCCCGTGTTGGGCCCGGCTCTTGTTTACCTCCATGCCTTTGCATATGTGCCTGGGACGCATTCCTTCCACCTCCACCAGGTAAGCCCCCACCCACTCTTTAATTTTCAACCCCAGGATCACCTTGTCTCGGGTGCCCTCTGTTCATCTTTGTGCTCCCGAGGCCTCTTGCACACCCATCACAGCTCTGGTCACACTGGACCCTCACTGTGTGTTTACATGTCTGTCTGCCCACAAGGCTGTGACCCCTTGAGGACAGGGGTCCATCCTCATGTCTTTGCCAGCCCGGTCAAGTCCAGGACACAGTTAAAGGCTGGTAAGTAAATGTCTCTTCAGTAGAGGAATGACAGACTTGGGTATTTTAATCTCACAGTTTTCTTCCAACATGATTCCTGTTTTCTGTGTGCCCAGCCCTGTGCTTGGTCGGAGAAAGCGGGGAAAAAGCGGAGGCCCAAGCCCCATCCTCAAGAGCTCCCAGTCCGGACCAGGGCAAGATGTGTTCTGTTAGGGGTTCAGGCGTCACACACTTGGGGTTATTACTTAGAGACCTGGGTGCCAGGAGTGGGAGCACTAGACACAGCTGAAACTGGTTTTGCCCTGGCCTGGGTGCCCATGCAGCAGGCAGATCCTAGGAGGACGCTGTCTGCTTTGCTTGGTTTTTCCCAGCTGTGAGACTACTGCCCTGAAGAGATCTCAGGCCCTATTGCACAGCTCCAGGGAACATTTTTTATGTGAGAAGCACACACCTGGAACCCTGCTTCACAGACTACAGTATGAATGATACCTACCCACCCACCCCCCACCCTGCAGAGCTATGTGAGGTGGTGGCCCTTGGGGGCTCAGGGCACATAAGCTGATGGTGGGCCTGAGCAGGAGTCCTTAGCCTCACCTCTGCAGCATCCCTGTATGTACAGCCATGGATGAGAGCTGATGACAGATGTCCAGCTCAGACGCCCCTTTCCAGGACAGTCTGGGTGCTCCCAGCTCTGCGTCTCTTCCCAGCCCTTGCTCTCAGCCTCCCACCTCAGCCTTCATCCCTGCCGGGCTGGAGGTGGCCAGTGGCCCTCTGGCTGAATGGGCCTCTGGATGGCAGCCACGCAAAATGCCCAGTTACTGCAAGGCCATATTTACATTTTCTAATATCAGGCAAAGAAATGGCTAATGTAGCAAAAAATGGTTACTCCAGGTAATAGTGGCACCACCAAGCCATTGTGTGCCAGACACCATACATCATTCTTAACTGTCACACAAATTCTGAGGAAAACGTGTAATTAGTCCCATTTTGCATATGAGACAACTAAGGTTCAAAGAGGCTCGGACCACACTGCGTCATGGCAGAGCTGGGACTGAAAGGTGTCCTGCCTGACACCAGAACTTTCCACCTGTCCCTTTCTACCCCCAACCTAAACACCCTCTGGCCTCAGGGGCTGTAAAGGCAGCAATGGATTGGGTCTGAAGTAGCTTTGGCCAGTCCAGTGTGAGCAGAGCACTGTACAGTAAGGGGCCCCTACTCAAGGCTGTGAACTACCCTCTCCTGCAGCAAACAAGAGCTGTCTTCTGTGTACTGCATGTCAATGTGGTTGCGTGTACATGAGACAGTGTGTACATGTGGTTGTGCATACATGTAGCTGTGTGTGCATGTGGCTGCATGTGCATGTGGCTCTGTGTGCATGTGCCACATGAAGCAGTTATGTTCCCTGGTCTGAAAAACACCGGCAACAATTTCACTCGCTCATACAGGCACTAAGAGCAGGGACCCTGGGAGTCACATTGCCTAGGTTCATGCTCTAACTCTGCCACTTATCTGTGATCTTGGGTGAGTTACTTAATCTCTCTGTGCCTCTGAGTCTCCCATCTGTACACTGGGGATAATAATAGCTTCTAAGTGGAAAATTTGCAAAGGTCTCTTGAATGGCCAAGATATCTGTGGAAACTCATAGGATGTGGGTAAACAAGGCATTGAATCTTTCCTCACAGACTTAAATGAATTTCTATTCAAGACCTGGGCCTGGTAAGTGCTATATGGGTGTTAGCCACTGTATTTTTCAGCAAAGGCTTATTGAGCACCTACTGTGTGCCAGGGAGCATGATAGGGGCTGGGTCACAATACTAATCAAGACAGGCATAGTCCCCACCCTCAAGGGGATCACAGTCTTTTCAGGCTCCTCAAAGCAGTCTCCTGCCTTCATCCACAAACACACACTGATGGAGGAGACAGGCAATGACTGAGGCCAACGCATCTGGGAGGATGGAGGAGGGAAGAGACAATGTTGGGACCCCACCCTCTCTAGTTTTCCTCCTGTCCTCCTGGCTGCACCTTCTCAAACTCCCTTGGGCTCCCTGTCCTCTGCCAGCCCCAGTCCTGTGGGGTGTCCAGGACTCTGTGCTCCACCTCTTCTCCCTTCCTGCCCACCCACACAAGCCCGCCCACCTTCTCCCATCTTCACACAGATGATCCCTACATCTCTGCTCCAACCTGGCGCCCCCAGCCACTCAGTCACCCAAACCAGTAGCCTGGAAGTCCCCTGTCCCTACCCCCTACACCCACCCCACTCAACCACTCCCTAAGTGCTATCAACTCTACCTCCAGCATCGCTCTTGAATCCACCCATTTCTCTCCAACCCCACCAGGCCTCCCCTCCAGTCCATCTGTAGTAGATGCTGTTGGTACCTCACCCAGACCCCATTTTCCAGCCAGGACATTTGTCTACCACCTGCAGGCGGTGTTGGCTGTTAACAACTCACAGTTGTGCCATTCTAGGGAGCAGTGCCCTCAACCAGTGGAGACTAAACTTATCAGGAAATTCCTGGGGGCTATACTCTCCTCCATGTGCAACCCACAGTCATCAGGCAGATCTGGGAACAAAAGCTGCCCCTTGTGCCCTGACAACTCTGCGGTGCAGTGCAAGCACCAGAGCTTCCCAGGGGACTGGATCCAGACCAGACTTTGGCTGAACCACATCCTCATCTAACCCCTCATGCGTGTCACTGAAAGCACCAGATCCCTTTCCAGGCTCTGCCTTCCGGGAATCCAATCTAAGACCCCATCTCTGACATTGGGCCACTTACAGTGACATCTCCAGGCCCTGGGAGGCAACCCAGAGGACAGGTGGGGCCTGGGCTAGGGCAGAGGGCCACTGGGGCCTGGGGAGGGGAATGCCGGGATGCTGAGTCCCCAGCCACCTTGTTCGGGGGCGGCCTCTCTGACGCTGTGATTAAGTTTTGTGCCAGAAAATCGATGGGGAGCTGGAGCTTTCCCTCCTCCCTTTTTCTTTTTACTTCCCTTTCTCTTCTTTTCAAAGGCTGAGCCCAAGTTAATCAGATAAATTCCTCAGCAGTCGCACCAACAGTTTTTCTAAGATTCAGCCTCCCCAGAGCAACTCATTATTACTCTAGACTGAGACATGAAAGCAAAGGGGAAAGAAGAATGGGGAAAAAAGACATGTTTTTAATTAAAAAATTAATTTTCCCAACACTGACGGCTACCCAGCTGTGGCACTTCCCCACTCATGAGATCATCCCCTCCATCCCTCTCTTCCTCATCAAATCTCAAGGTCGGGCGTGGGCCTGGGAAAGGCAGCTCCCTCTCTGAAAAAAGCCACCTTCCCCTCCAGCGGAAACCTCTTTGTCTCACCTCCCTCACCTGCAAAGTAAGTGGTAGGACTGCAGGATTCTACGTGGCAACCGCAGACAGAGGACACAGGCTTTGGAGTCAGGCAGACACGGGTTCCAGCTCAGTCACTGAGGATGCATGTGGCTTGCCTAAGTCCCCTCACACTTCTCTACTCAAGTGAGGTCCTCAGGCCAGCGGCGTCGCCATCACCTGGGGGCCTGTTAGAAATGCAATTTGGATCCCACCCCAGATTAGTTGAACCAGAATCTGTGTTTTTAATAGGATTCCCCGTGACTCAAACCCACAGAACCTTTCAAGAAGCACTGCTCTGGTCAATCCAAGCTTCAGCCATCTCCTCTGGAAAATGGCTTAGTCTGCGAAAATTATGAAGTTGTACGAGAAAACAGTTTAACAATCTGTAAGGCGGGAACCTCAAAAAAATATTCACGAGGTGTTAACCTGGGCCATTCCAGTGCCTTGTATCAAACCTCATATCTGGTTCAGGAGCTTGACCCCATGAGCCAGAAGCTTTTCTGCTCTCTTGAACACTTTGCTCCCTGTGTCTGGGGCCCAGTCAGAAGTTTCCTGAAGGAACCAAAGAGTTTGCAATGCAGGAAATCTTCACTGGAGAACACCCACTGTCTGAAGCACTGACCATTGTCCAGGTGCCTCCCCTACTCACCGCATGCTGGGGCTGCTGGTGGGGTTAGGGCTTCTGTGGGTGACAGGAGCTCACACTCCAATGTCATGGGGATGGACCTGTCCATTCTAGACAGGTATCAACAGCCACAGGCTCCCAGTTTTACCTTGCCATTCCTTTCTGGGGTCTTTCCTAAGGACACAGTCCACAGTATGGATAAGTTTCACACCAAGAAGATTTATCAGGTTACCTTAAATAGGGAGTAAATAGAAATAACACTGAGAGCAAGGCTAAGTAATTGTTAGTAAGGACCTTTCAAATGATACGAAAGACTTTGTAATGATAAGTAAAAATGTTTATGATGTAATATGGGATACAGAATTGCTATACACTCATCTATGTTAAAAAATATATGTACAAACATATCCTTATGCTGAAGCCCTAATTCTCAATGTGATAGTATTAGGACATTTGGGAGATTATTAGGTGTAGATCAGGTCGTGAGTGTGGGACCCTCATGATGGAATTGGTGCCCTTATAAGACGAAGGCAAAGAGATCGCTCCCTCTTCCTGTACATGGTTGCTCCGAGGAATGACCACGTGAGCATGCAGTGAGAAGGTGGCTGCTTACAGCCAGGAAGAGAGCCCTCATCAGACACCAAATCTGCCAGCACCTAGATCGTGGACTTCCCAGTCTCTAGAACCGTGAGAAATAATTATCTGCTGTTTAAGCCACCCAGTCTCGAATTCTGTTATGATGGCCCAATCAGACAGTAGCATATTTTAAAAGAGGTAAAACCAACATTTTAGATAACAATAAAAAAAATCCAAAAACTGATTTAAGGCCTGGTTTTGTACTAGAGACTTCAGAGAACTAAGGGGAGCAACTGCAAAACCAATAGTTACAGGGACAACAAGAGAAAGAGAAACTGCCCTTCAAGATGACTGTGCAGAGTGAAATTTTAAGACACATGAAGAAGATTGATGCCAAAGCAAAATCAACAATTAAGAGGCTTATTTATTGCAGAAAAAACAAACAGTAGGGAAATATTTAAATGACTAAATAGAAGCCTATTTGGACTCCTTAAAACACTGAAGGAAAGCCAGGCATGATGGCTCACACCTATAATCCCAGCACTTTGGGAGGCCAAGGCGGGCGGATCACGAGGTAAGGAGATCGAGACCATCCTGGCTAACAGGGTGAAACCCCGTCCCCACTACAAAATACAAAAAGTTAGCCGGGCATGGTGGTGGGCACCTGTAGTCCCAGCTACTCGGGAGGCTGAAGCAGGGGAATGGCGTAAACCTGGGAGGTGGAGCTTGCAGTGAGCTGAGATCATACCACTGCACACCAGCCTGGGTGACAGAGTGAGACTCCGTCTTTAAAAAAACAAAACAACAACAAAAAAAAACACTAAAGGAAGGATGGGCGTGGTGGCTCATGTCTATAGTTCCAGCATTTTGGGAGGCCAAGGCGGGTGGATCAGCAGAGGTCAGGAGTTCAAGACCAGGCTGACATGGTGAAACACCATCTCTACCAAATACAAAAAATTAGCCAGGCATGGTGGCACATGCCTGTAATCCCAGATACTTGGGAGGCTGAGACAGGAGAATCGCTTGAACCTGGGAGGCGGAGGTTGCAGTGAGCTGAGATCGTGCCATTGCACCCCAGCCTGGGCAACAATAGTGAAACTCCGTCTCAAAAAAAAAAAAAAAAAAAAACTGAAGGAAGCCAGGCACTGTGGAGCATGTCGGTAATCCCAGCCAGTCAGGAGGCTGAAGTAGGAGGATCAGTTGGGCTCAGGAGTTTCAGTCCAGCCTGGGCAACTTAGTAAAACCTTGTTCTCTTTAGAAAACACTCAATAATGGGACAAATTTTAGACTAGACATGTCCAAAGAAAAACATAGTGATTTATAAGCTTACATTAAGAATTTACGTAGAAAATAGTATAAAAAAGATAAAGTGATGAAAAATATGAAAGCTTCATTAGAAAGAACAAATATCAAGAAGAGAACCAACGGATAGAAAAGAAGCAGTAGTCAAAAACATGAAAGCAGATCATTTCCCAGAATTAAAGAGAAAGATAAGTTCTCAGATTGAAAGGAAAGGAAACACTGAGTGCCATGCATCATCAGTACAGCCAAGCCACTACCTGAGCACATGGTAGTACACTGCAGAATATAAAAGAGACAAAAACTTAAAGGCAACCAAAGAGAAAAGACCTTTCACCTACCAAAGAATGACAAGTGATATGATTTGGATCTTTGTCCCCACCAAAATCTCATGTGAAATTACTATTTTTTTTCTCAGATGCAGTTTTGCTCCTGTTGCCCAGGCTGCAGTGCAATGGCGCTATCTCAGTTCACCGCAACCTTTGCCTCCCAGGTTCAAGCAATTCTCCTGCCTCAGCCTCCCTAGTAGCTGGGATTACAGGCATGCACCACTATGCCTGGCTAATTTTTGTATTTTTAGTAGAGATGGGGTTTCTCCATGTTGGTCAGGCTGGTCTTGAACTCCCAACCTCAGGTGATCCACCTGCCTCAGCCTCCCAAAGTGCTGGGATTACAGTCATTGAGCCACTGCACCCAACCTCATGTCAAATTATAGTTCCCAATGTTGGAGAAGAGGCCTGGTGGATCATAAGGGTGGACATCCCCCTTGCTCCTCTCATGATAGTGAGTTATCATGAGATCTGGTTGTTTAAAAATGTGCAACAGCTCCCCTTCTCTCTCTTCCTCCTGCTCTGGCCATGTAAGACATGCCTCCTTCCTCTTCGCCTTCTACCATGATTGTAAGTTTTCTGAGGCCTGCCTGGCCATGTTTCCTGTACAGCCTGCAGAACCATAAGCCAATTAAACCTCTTTTCTTTATACATTACCCAGTCTCTGGTAGTTCTTCATAGCAATGTGAGAAATGACTAATACAGAAAATTGATACTGGGAAGTGTGGCACTGCTATAAAGATACATGAAATGTGGAAGTGACTTTGAAACTGGGTAATGGGCAGAGGCTGGAACAGTTTGGAGGGCTTAGAAGACAGGAAGATTAGGGAAAGTTTGGGACTTCCTAGAGACTTGTTAAATTGTTGTGACCAAAATACTAATAGTGATACAGACAATGAAGTCCAGGCTGAGTTGGTCTCAGATGGAGATGAGGAACTTTTTGGGAACTGGAGTAAAGGTCACTCTTGCTATTCTTTAGTAAAGAGGCTGGTGGCATTGTGCCCCTGCTCTAGGGATCTGTGGAACTTGAGAGTGACAATTTAGGGTATCTGGCGGAAAAAATTTCTAAGCAGCAAAGCATTCAAGATGTAGCCTGGCTGCTTGTAACAGCATATGATCACATGCATGAGCAAAGAGATGATTTGAAACTGGAATCTGTATTTAAAAGGAAAGCAGAGCATAAAAGTTTAGAAAATTTGCAGCCTGACCATGTGATAGAAAAGAAAAACCCATTTTTCTTGGGGGGAATTCAAGCCAACTGCAGAAATTTGCATAACTAAAGAGGAGCCAAATGTTAATAGCCAAGACAATGAGGAAAATGCCTTAAAGACATTTCAGAGATCTTAGCGGCAGCCTCCCCATCACAGGCCTGGAGGCCTAGGAGGGAAGAATGGTTTCACCATATTGGTCAGGCTGGCCACCTGACCATATTGGTCAGAAACCCACTGGCCTGCACAACCTCAGGGCACCGCTCCCTGTGTCCTAGTCACTCCAGTTCCAGCTGTGGCTAAAAGGACCCCAGATACATCTCAGGCTCCTGCTCCAGAGGGTGCAAGCTGTAATTCTTGGCAGCTTCCATGTGGTTAAGCCTGCAGGTGTGCAGAGGGCAAGAAAAGAGGCTTGGGAGCCTCTGCCTAGATTTCAGAGGATGCATGGACATGACTGGATGTCCAGGCAGAAGTCTGCTATAGGGCAGAGCCTACATGGAGAATCTCTACCAGAGCAGTGCAGAGGGGAAATATGGGGTTGGAGCCCCAACACAGAGTCCCCACTGGGGCATGTGAGAAGTGGGCTGGAGCTGTGAGAAGTGGGCCACTATCCTCCAGACCCCAGAATCATAGATCCACTGTCAGCTTGCACTGTGCATCTGGAAAAGCCACAGGCACTCGATGTTAGCTCATAAAAGCAGCCAAGGGGGCCGTAGCCAGCAGAGCCATAGGGGCAGAGCTGCCCATGGCCCTGGGAGCCCATTCCTTGTGTCAGTGTGGCCTGGAAATTGAGTCAAAGGAGATTATTTTTGGTACTTCAAGATTTAATGACTGCTCTGCTGGGTTTTGGACTTGCATGGGGCCTGTAGCCTCTTTGTTTTGGACAATTTCTCCCTTTTGGAAAGGGACTATTTACCAAATGCCTATAACCCTATTGTAGTTTGGAAGTAACTAACTTGTTTATTTCATAGGCTCATAGGCAGAAAGGACTTACCTTGTCTCAGATGAGACTTTGGACCATGGACTTTTTGAGTTAATGAGGAAATAAGGGACCATTGAGAAAGTAAAATTGTATTTTGCAATGTGAGAAGGACATGAGATGTGAGAGGGCCCAGAGGTGGAATAATATGGTTTAAAATTGTGTCCTCACCCAAATCTCATGTCAAATTATAATTCCCAGTGTTGGAGGAGGGGCCTGGTGGGAGGTGATTCGATCACTGGGGCAGACTTCCCCACTGCTGTTTTCATGATAGTGAGTTCTCATGAAATCTGGTTGTTTAAAAGTGTGTAGCACCTCCTCCTTCTCTCTCTTCCTCCTGTTCCAGCCATGTAAGGTGTGTCTCCTTCCTCTTTGCCTTCCACCATGATTGGAAGTTTCCTGAAGCCTCCCCAGGCATTCTTCCAGTACAGCACGCAGAACTGTGAGCCAACTACACCTCTTTTCTTTATAAATTACCCAGTCTCTGGTAGTTCTTTATAGCAATGAGAGAAATTACTAATAAAAGTTATGCAGACCCCGTGCCAAGGAGAAAAGAGGTCAGAAAGCCATGGAGCAAACACTTCAAAGTACTGAGTGTAAAAAACAAAAAACAAAAAACAAAAAAAAAAATGGAGGGTAAAACTTCATTTGCAGCTAAATAATTACTCAAGATTAAAAAGGAAATAAAACCATTTTCATACATATAAAGACTGGAAATGTTTATACCCAAGAGAAATTCACTGAAGGAAATCCTAAGGATGTACTTCAGCAAGATAAAAAGTGAACCTAAGGGGAAAATTAGGGTGTGACAAAAAAAGTGAGTGCAAAACCGGTAAATATAGATGTAAATTGAGCTACTGACCATAACAATGATTATAATAATAATAGCTATAGTTGTGTTTTTTTAAAAAAAGATACTACCAAGATTCTAGAAAACATTTTAAAACCTTCTTTACTTGTCCACAAGGATGATAGAGATATGAATATCCTTGGACTTCATTAGAAGAACTTATAACTATATGCATATTGAAATACAAATGACTTTAATATCACACTGTCAATGACTGGAACAACCAGAGAGAAGGTAAGTAAGGAAATAGAGGACTTACCACAATAAACCAACTAGTTCTAACAGACACATACAGAACACTCTACCCAACCACAGCAGTATACACATTCTCAAATGCACATGGGACAATTTAAGGGGTAGACCATATGCTAGGTCTACCCTATATAAATAAACCCTCAATAGATTTTAAAAGATACACATCATGAAAAATATCTTCCCTGATCACAACAGAATGAGGTTAGAAATCAATAATAGAAGTAAAACTGAAAAATTCACAAATCTGTGAAAATTAAACAACATACTCTTAAGCAACCAATAGATCATATAATAAATCACACAGGAAATTGGAAAATACCTAGAGATTAATTAAAATGAAAATGTCACATACAAAAATTTATGGAATAAAGCAAAGGCAGTGCTAAGGGGGGCATTTACAGCTGTCAATATTTACATTAAACAATAAGAAAGATCTCAAATCAACAACCTAACTTTACAACTAAACCCAAAGCTATGAGAAAGAAGAAAATACTAAAGATTAGAGCA